GGAGAGTCTTCATTCTGAGGTGTGTGAACTTGTCAAATACAAGCGTGTACCTTTTCCTAACAGCAATAAAGTGAGCACTTCTCCATTTTATCCTGTTCATATAGATGTGTGGGGCCCCTCTAATATTCCTAATATCTCAGGTGCTAAATGGTTTGTAACCTTTATAGATGATTGTACAAGGGTAACGTGACTTTTCCTTCTTAAACACAAATTTGAGGTTAGCTTTGTTTTCCTACAGTTTGATATCAAGAAACTTAGGTCTGATAATGCTAAAGATTACTTCAATCATACTCTAAATTCTTTTTGCCAAAAGGAAGGTATAATCCACGAATCCTCATGTACACACACCGCAACAAAATGGGATTGCGAAAAGGAAAAATGGGCACTTACCAAATCAAACTAGAGCACTCCTTTTTCAAAATAATGCTCCAAAAAATTTTTGGGGGGAAGCCATACTAACTGCCACTTAATTAATAGATTATCCTCTACAGTTTTATCCTCAAAAAGCCCCATGGAAGTCCTAAATCATTCTACCCACATATAGCCCCTACAAATAACCTTCAACCTAGAATTTTTGGGTGTCTCCTTTGAACATGTTCACAGTAATGGAAGGGGAAAACTTGACCCAAGGGCAGTAAAGTGTGTTTTCTTGGTATACTCAGCCACACAAAAAGGATATATGTTTTTTCATCCTCCTTCCCAAAAATTCTGTGTCAAGGTATGTTACTTTCAATGAATGAGTGAGCTACTTTAACCAACCTCATCTTCAGGGGGAGAATTTAAGAGAGGAAGATTAGCCCCTCATACTACCAAATCTATCCTTTGGACCAAAAATTGGAAAAGCTACTGTTGAACCAGAAACTGAAAAAAAATATTACCACTATTTGTGAAGTTGAGGCTAAAGAGGAACAAGTAGAGGAGAATCAAATCCCTGCACTAGTAGAACCAGTAGCTGGTGCAAGACCAGCAATTGGGCCACACAATGATACAAAATTTGGAAAAAATCAGTGTACACATGAAGAGAAAAGGCCATTCCAAGATCTGCTCATGTCCAAGAACCCAACCCTACATCATTACATGAGGTAAATCCTTTTGATCCTATAAATTCTAATTCTGCTGATTGTGATGAATTTCCTTCTAAAAAATCAGGTGCACAGGTGAACCATAACTTAGACCTCCCAATTGCCCTTACAAAAGGAACCAGAAACTGCACCAAACAACAACCTTACCCCTTGACAAATTATTTATCCTTTGAAAAATTCTCACCTACCCATAAAACCTTTCTCACAAGCCTAAACACCACAACTACACCCTCCTTTGTATCTGAGGCATTAACCGACAAAAAATGCAAACAAGCCATGGACTTGGAGATGCAGGCATTGGAAAAAAAAAATACTTGGGGCCTAGTGACCCTACCACTTGGAAAAAAAAACCTGTTGGGTGCAAGTGGGTTTATACGTTGACGTACGAAGCTGATGGGACTATTGAGAGGTATAAAGCGAGGTTGGTGGCCAAAGGGTTCATTCAAACATATGGAGTGGATTACTTGGAGACTTTTGCACCAATTGCCAAAATGAACACGGTCAGGGTAATTTTTTCATTGGCAGCAAACCACAATTGGGACTTGCAACAATTTGATGTAAAAAATGCATTCTTACATGGGGATCTGGGAGAAGAAATATACATGGATATACCACCTGGGTATACAGGGTAGAGTGAAGCCAACACAGTTTGCATGCTAAAAAAGGCATTAAATGGGTTGAAACAATCACCTAAAGCGTGGTTTGGGAGATTTACCAAAATCATGACAAGCCTTAGATACAAATAGAGCCAAGGAGATCAGACTTTATATATCGAGCATTTTGATTCAAGGGGAGTAACAGTATTATTGGTCTATGTGGATGATATCATTGTCACTAGGAATGATAAAAAGGAACAACAACAGTTGAGTCAATGCCATGCCAAGGAATTCAAAATCAAGACCTTAGGGAAGCTAAAATATTTTTCGGGGATTGAAGTGGTCCATTCCAAGAAAGGGGTCTTCATATCTCAACAAAAATACATTACTAACTTGCTTCAGGAAATAGGTAAGAAAACCAGCAAACCAATAAGTACACTAGTTGACCCAAATATAACATTGGGAAGTGCGGAGGAGGATGTTGATGTGGATAACAAAATGTATCAAAGACTTGTGGGCAAACTCATTTACCTATCTCACACTAGGCTATATATTGCCTTTGTTGTGAGCCTAGTCAACCAATTTATGCACCAACCAAAGGAAGCACATTTACAAGCTGCCCATAGAATTGTCCAATATTTAAAAAGGACTCCAGGAAGAGGAATTTTGTTCAAATGAAACAAGAATGTTAGTCTTGAGGCATATTCGAATGCTGATTATGCGGGTTCAATTGTGGATAGGAAGTCAACTACCGGATATTGCACCTTCCTTGGTGGAAACCCAGTAACTTGGAGGAGCAAAAAACAAAGTATGATAGCTAGATCTAGTGCTGAAGCAGAATTTCGAGCAATGGCCCAAGGAATTTGCGAATTGTTATGGCTGAAGATTATATAGGTAGACTTACGAATAAAATGAGATGAACCTATGAGGTTATATTGTGACAATAAATCTGCAATTAGTATAGCCCACAATCCGGTACAGCATGATAGAACTAAACATATCGAGGTGGACAGACATTTTATCAAAGAAAAGCTTGACAGTGGCTTGATTTGCACCCCATATGTGTCCACCCAAGGTCAACTTGCAGACATACTCACCAAGGGGCTGAACATTTGTAACCTAAAAAAGAATTATATCCAAGCTAAGAATGGAGAACATTTATTCACTAGCTTGAGGGGGAGTGTCAAAATATATTTTAGGAAGTTTTAGATATTATTCCAACTATATTTTAATTCTTTATATTTGTTGTATCTTGCTATTAATACTAGGTTTGCATATTTAGAAACAATCCCACAATTACAAGGATTTGTTCCCTAAAATAACAATCCCACAATCACAGGGATTTGTCCCCTAGAATAGGCTGTTCCTATTTCATAACATCGCCAACAGGCTCATGCATATATCTGATGTATCTCATGATTAAAATAATATATGAAACATATGATTTCTTCTATATTTGAGAGGCTATTATTCAGACTTCACAGAAACCCAATTTCCAATTTTCCAAATGTCTCCCCATCACCCCTATTTCTCAAAGATACTTCACCCTTTTCTCTAGATTATTTTAACTTATTTCCTTCAGCTGATATCTGACTTAGTATAACACTACGTGATACAGAATCATCAAATTTTTGCAATTAACACATGGTGCACTAGCCTTATAAAGCTTCATGTTACGGAGATATTCAGCTATTTAGCAGAACTAGAGAGGTAGTAAGGGAAGTTGCACTTTGTAAGAATTCGGTCATTCATTTGATCCTGAAGTTTGACAGGACTCTGTTCCTAAAGCTGGTTTTCCAACTCTTTTCAGATTTGCAGTGTGTGAACCAGACCCTTTTCTCTTAGGATTGGTCATGTATAAATGAGTTTGCAATGTAAGTGAAAAAAAATCAGTTACATACATTCAGGTGCGGATGGTTGCTCATGTCATGTGATATGACCAAAAAGTCAGTAAGAGTTTCAAGGCTGTGCAAGTAGACAAGTAGAGATTATTATGAAGTGGATCCAAGTCCAACAGCAATGCATGAGCACATGGCATAAGGCTGTGAGTGACAAAGTTTATCTTTACTGCTAGCATTTCAGAGCAAACATTGACTAATGACAAGAAAGACAAATCATCTACCATGGAGAAGAAAAATTAAGCAACAAGTGTCCAGCACTGATAAGGAGCTTCACTTAACAATGAGTAACTAACTTCCTGAGTCAAACAAAGAGCTAGGAGAAAGTGGCCTACAGAATAATAGGCATTAGCTAAAATCCATAAAACATTGGACCCTTCAGTGAACAATGCCAATCAAAAGGACTTGTTCTATCATCATCACCTATTAATGAAGAATTACTGAACTGAAAAAACTACAATAAGAACAACCTTATATAAGACAATAATACATGGAATTATTGCCTGCATCTGAAGAAAATAGAGCTCTATTTCCCACTTATCTTAGATGAGAATGCCAGCACTCAGCTACTGACCAGGCCTTTTCTCCCTCCTTAAAATGAGGTGAAGCTGCTTCTTTCAATAATGCCAACACCAATGTCTTTGGCAAAGGAGTGAAGGACAGTCCTCGAGACAGTTAAGCACTAACTCTACTTCAGTTACTTCAACTGATTATTAATTTTACTAAAGCACTCCCTAACAACCAAGTTGACTATATTTGTAACAAGCTAAACTAGATTAAACTTGTATACACCAGCTTGAGGAGGAGTGTCAGTACATAGACTAGTTTATCTACAAGGGTTAGAATTATTACATAGGATGGGTTTATGAGTACTCCTCTCACACTTAACCAAATCAAGATATAATAACAAAAATTAGGACCCTAACAAGTTAAGTCAATGTTTTCATTAACTCGACAAAAATAAATTCAATTAGACAGAGGTTAGAAGTGTAGCAGGAAGAATAAGAAATCCCCATGTATAGCAACACAACACAAAGCAACCGAAAAAAAAAAAAAAAAAAAACCCTTTAACATATCAGTTAGGTTAACCAATTAAAAAAGCTGTAGGCTCCACATCCTCTCAAGGATTTAATTTGATTGCCAGCCTGAAGTTGCAATCACAATTGCCTTGCGACTTTGCAGGAAGCTGCCACCAGTAATAGCAAGGTAATGTAGTTGTGTTAACTACAATAACCAATATGTCACAGACACATCTAAGATGCAAATTAAGAGTTAAATCCTTTCACCCCCTCAATGAAGAAGTGTGGCAATGAAATTTCATTCTATATCTTCCAGACATAATTAACCAATTCAGATTAGCTTTGCAGTTGCATAGTTGTACATATAAAATCTTATACCATTTCTCGATTAGTATTCATAGGTACCTGTTCAGTTTCCACTTCCATTAAATACAGGCCACATTTGTCCTTACCAACATCATCAAGGGAAGACAAGTTAGTTAGTAAAGTATGAGTAGAAGTCAATACATTATCACAAGCAAGCTTAAGTTCAACTTGCTCGATAATGATATCACTCATTATATTGACCTGCAGAACACAAGGCAATTAGAGGTTGTGTTGGAATATAAAATAGTATATTGAAATTTAGAGCCAGTTGTTTTCATCATACCAAATTAATAAATTTTTCAGAAGAAGACCATAGAGGATGTTGACAGAGATGATACAATATTTTCCCACGCACCTGAATTTTGTAAAGAATTGAAAACAAATCAAAACAAATCATTCAATAAGAAAGAAAATATTATTATTGTACAAATGAATTCATGAACACTAAGGGGTTATTACTATGTGAAAAGTCTACCTTAGAATCATTTTCTTTCTCCATTAGCTTAAATAGGATATCCCATGTAAGTGCCGAAGCAGAGAAAAAACTGGAAATAAGGGATATCATGCCCATTTTCCATTTTTCTGAAGAAGATGAAACATCACTGCCTACTTTTTTACCAACAGGTAAACTGTCAACCTCTTTAGAATCTTCATTAACATCCAAATCCCAATCCATAATCCTGCTTTTGCTACTGGCATTTGGACAAGAACTTTGAATACTATAAGTAGCGGCCATATCTGGTATGATTGTATCAGACTGATGATTCATCATATCCCGAGAATAACTTTCATATAGATTAACAAAAGCCTTCAAGAGTCTTTCTACAGATTGGATTAACTCGTCAAATGGGACAAAGCCCATCAAATTTTGATCCCTCAATTCATTAAATATAGGAGATGAAAGAAAACAATGAATGGAAGAAACAAGAGGACCCATATCATCACAAGTTGGATCATAACCTAAGCAACTAAAAGCCCGGAGGTCACTGTCTTCTTGAATAATTCTTACAGCATTGTCAAGCATCAGTTGCAAATATTGGCTTAATTTTGAACAAAATGAAACATTAATTTTCCTGAAAAAGCACAAAACCATGTATAAAAATCACATACATAGGGTAAAATAACTGAAAAACAGGTTAAAGGAGTGTCATGACAAAAACCAATAATAGTTTAGTTATTAACAATGACAATGCACTATGAGGAATACTCCGGCAGCTAGCAAGAAGACTATATATATATATAAGCACAAAAACAGAAAAATAACTCAAAATTTATGCATTAATCATTTTCGATTAAAAATAGTCATAGTACTTATATAAAACATAAAATAGAAAGTCAAGGAAACAAAGTGTTTAAAAGCCTTGAATTAATTTTTTTTGTTACTTAAAATGTTCTCTGAACTATAATAATTAAACATAAAAAGAAGTAAAAATATAACTTATCTCAATTAGGCCCATCAAACCAAACCAAAAAAGAAGAAAAATAAATAAACATTTGGGCCCATTTGCCCAATTTTCCCAACCCTAATTTGTTCACTATAACCCTAAGACCCCAGCAGCTAGGCATTCTGTCCCCCTTCCCTCCTAGAAGATTCAAATGACTGAGAGCCGTCGAAGAAGAAGACAGATCTACAAGAGTCACCTAAAAAGAAGACAAATCTATTCAACCTGAGATTGTATCTAAGATATCTCTCTTCTTTCTAAGCTTTATCATCTTTTCTCTCATTTTAAAAGGAAATCTCTCCTTCTATCAGCATTAAAGAATACTAGAGAAGCAAGAAGTATGGCATCAATCCTACTCCTACTAGCATAAAAGTACTTTTAAAATCAAAATTATAATGGTAAATAAGAATAAACTTCACATTACATTCCATTCAAGTAGTGCAAAGCAAGAAACTGTAACCATCTGTCAGACTGTTCACTAACATAATGTGCAGGCTTTGGCTTTACCCGTTTCTTCATCATACCAAAATATATTAGTGACATGGCAAAGAGCAACAGCAACAGGATAACTTTTAAGAAAGCGATTTACAGTTCTACATGACTACATCCATTTAGCAAACATATACACCATTACTTTGGTACAGAAGGTATAAACAATAGACAAAGTACAACCCAAATGTGACAAACCTTGTGAAAAAATAACCATAAAGTAGGTTAGACAAAAGAGAACATATTAAGAAAGTATCAGGCAAACGCCTCTCTTTAATCTCATCTTCCACCAAAGCTCCAAGAATAGAGGTCTCCATTTCACGCAATAGCTGCTCACTTATTTCCCGGGGAACCCGAACATGTGGACGTACTTTCACTTGGGGAACCTGAAAAAGTTTGATCACCTTAACCAAAATTATGAAAGCTAACACATACAAGCTTCTTCAAGTGAATGGCGCCAGACCTCAGCTTTAGAAATCTTGTCAATTTCTGTGAGAACTTCCAGAGAGCAATCCAAAAACTCAAGTAGACATTGCTGTTTGGGGTCTTCAAACTACATATTATGTCATGATTCAGTTTCATTGTGACAGTTTAATGAAAACTACTAGATCAAACTTTAGTTTGGACAGGAGTTGGCTACGCTGTACCTTATGAGAGTCATCTTGAGTATCAATGACGTCAAAATAGTTGTGAACTAGAGGAACTTCTTTAAAGCATTGAGTAAAAGGAACATAACCTACACAAAGTGCGTACAAAGCACTAGCAATGAACAAAACCATTCGCTCGTTCAAGGTTGAATAACCCTGCATAAGATGGAAATATGAACAAATAAATGAATCTGAAGCAGAGGGACATTATGCCTTCCCCACATGCATGGGTTTTGCCCATTAGAATTGTTAGCACCATATATTTTCATAATACACAAACTGAACTAAGTGAAGGAATAAAATAATTTACTCATGATGATTTTATGTAAGCACACCTTCCAATTAAGATGACACAATGTTGATCTTAAAAGGTTTTTCCTTAAATGTAAAATATCTCGGAGATCAGCCTGCACATTGTGGAACAGTAAATTAAATGAAGAAGTGGTTCAGCACAGAAATATTTTTCAGTTTTACCTAAGAAGCATGAAATTTACCCATACACACATGTGCAAAACATTGTCTTTATTATGTAACAAGATACAGAAAACATCACCAAGATAAAAGTACTTTAACAGTAGATATAGAAATGAACCAAATGAAAGCTTAAAGCTTGTTCCATTTTTCATCTTATATATGGTCATCATATATTACAGAGATGTGAACTTAAATAGGATTGTGAAAATTTACTGTCAAAAATTATCTACAAGAAAGAATTAGACTTGAAAAATAAGCATTGAAGGTATTGGAGTATAGTTTTACTCCTTAATTATATATGTAGAATAGTAATGTAGATTATGTTTTATTCTTTTCTTTACTATCACATTTATTGTCTTTATTATAGACCAACATAGATTGGCTCTATATAAACCCATCTTGTATTCATTGTGCAGTAGTGAAAAACATATTTTGCTAATTGAAATATTCTCTCATCTTCTCTCTTCCGCTCTCTCTCTCTTTCTCTCTCACAATTCTAATATGGTATCATAGAGCTACTCGATCCTCCTTTCTCTTTCTCTCTTTGTTCTTCACAACAATCTTGTCATGGCTGAATCAACTCCCCCAGCGGTTTCTTCTCCACCACCGCCGCCCCCTCCTCCACCCATCAATGCTACACTCCTCAACACCGTTCCCTCAAAGAACCCTCCCACTAATCCCCCTCCGTCTCTTACCTTTTCTCACACCATCTCCAAAAAAATGGACACCAAGAATTACCTTCTTTGGTGCCAGCAAGTCAAACCGGTTATCAAAGGCCACAGACTCCATCATTTTCTTGTTAACCCACAAATTCCCCAAAAGTATCTCTCCATCATTGATCGTGATTCTGGTCAGGTATCTGAGTCCTATCTTGCCTGGGAACAGCAAGATCAACTATTGCTATCTTGGCTCCAATCTTCCATGTCTAAAGACATACTTACTAGGGTTATTGGTTGCAAGACGTCTTTTCAATTACGGGACAAAATACATTCCTACTTCCATTCTCACATGAACGCCAAAGCGCGTCAATTGCGCAATGAACTACGCAGCACTAATCTTGACAACCAGACTATCTCCAACTATGTTCTTCGAATTCAAACCCTTGTTGATGCTCTAACTACCATTGGTGATTCTGTTTCTGTAAAAGAGCATCTTGACATCATTCTTGAAGGCTTACCGGAAGAATATGAATCTACCATCTCACTCATCATTAGTCGCTTTGACATGCTGTCCATAGACGAAGTTGAGACTATTAGAGAAGAGACTAGGATAATAAATACTTTTATTATTTTATTGTATTGATATTGTATATTTTCTGTTTTCTGTTAAGAGTTGCCAACTCATCAAGTTGGTTAGATTTGTTAGGTCTATATATGTAAGTGATATCTCACAGATATCACTATCTTGTTTTTCATCAATAATACAATCTACTGAAATTCTCTCAACTCTTTCTCTCATATGGTATCATCGTGAGCACGGTGAGATCTTGGACTCTTTTTTTTTGCTCGCGCCCTCACTACGCAGCTCTGTTTTTCTGCTCGCGCCCTCTCTGTGCGATTTTTTGCTTCGCTCGCGCCCTCTCTGCACGATTCCGACTTGCTCGCGTCTCTTCTTGATTCTCATCTCCAACCGCGACGCCTTCGTCGCGCTGTCTTTGTTTGATTCTCACCCACATCTAGTGAAGAAGGAATCCATCAATATTGACATTGAGAAGAATTCAGCTTTTCTTAAATCTGACCCTTGTATTTTTCTTTCTGAAAAATGTAATCATGTTGTTTCCAATACCTATAAACAGTGGCATTTACGGTTAGGGCATCCACATCATGATGCCCTAACTAAAGCCCTACAAACTTGTAATATTCATCTTCCCACTGTTAATAAAATTCTTGATTTCTGTGATTCATGTTGTATTGCCAAGTCTCATAGAATTCCTTCTCAATCTTCAACTACTGTTTATTCCAAACCACTTGAACTCGTTTTTCTAGATGTTTGGAGACCTGCATCATTAGAATCTAGTTGTGGTTATTTGTATTTCTTAACGTGTCTTGACGCTTGCACCAGATACACATGGATTTATCTCCTTCGTAGAAAATCATGTGTATTCAAATTTTCTAAATTTTAAAGCTCTGGCTGAGAAATAGTTTCAAACTCCTCTCAAATCTGTTCAAACAGATGGTGGTGGTGAATTTCGTACTTTAATCCCGTTTCTACAACAAGAAGGCATTATTCACAGACTTACTTGTCCCTATGCTCATCATCAAAATGGCATTGTTGAAAGGAGACACAGACATGTAGTTGAACTTGGATTGGCAATGCTTCACCATTCGGCCTTACCACTAAAATTTTGGGACCATGCCTTTTTAACTGCTACCTACTTAATCAATAGACTACCCTCTTCTTCAGTTGGTTTTAAATCACCCTACAAACTGATTCATAACAAGGATCCAGATTATACATTTCTAAAGGTCTTTGGTTGTTCTTGTTTTCCATTACTTAGACCCTACAATCAACACAAGATTCAACCTCGGTCAGAGGAGTGTCTATTCTTGGGATACTCTCCTAGTCATAAGGGTTACAAATGCTTAAGTAGGTCTGGCCGAATCTATATCAGCAAGAATGTGGTATTCAATGAAGGCAGATTTCC